CTCTTTCCGCCTTTTTTATCATACAGTCAGCATAAACCGTTTCATGACACGTCCATGACGTATTGTCTTGCCTAATTATATTATTTCTCACCTCCTCTTTTTTCTTTTCCAAGTTGCAAGCAACTGACTGTAATATAACCTGCAAATACATTGTTGAATCACGAGATTCGAAGAAGCCTTGCTAAAAAAATTGATGTTATTGTAATTTCGCGCTTATTTTCAATTGGTAACATTAATATTACTCTTTAGTCGTATGTTACGCAACTATAAGAAAAACATACAAAAGAATTCTAAGTGAATTAGTTTTATTGTAATCTTATATAATTATTAAAATCTTTTACAGACATACCTCCATGAAAGATATATGTATACTGATATACATATTAACCAGATATTATTAAATTGTATAAGTCGTTATTAAATAAATTTTTTCCAAATTGTTTTTATTATAATTTTATATTTTTTCGAAAATTTGCTACTTATTCTAATCGGATATGTTACCATAGCAGATCAGCAGACGGATCAGAAATAGTTCTGGAAATGGTCGAAAAGAGGTCAGTACTATCGTTTTGTATAAAATATGGAAACGATCGAAAGTGTCAGGGATATTTCATGGGCGAATGTTTAAGAATTCAAGGTCGATTCTCGTGTATGTCAATCGTGTTCAACTTCAATTAGTTTAATTCAAATTTACTGCTACAATTATAACATGTTGGAACAAATCATAATTCGTACGAGATCGCTCTTAAAAAAGCAGCTGTTCTAACCTATGTATCTAACAGTGAATAATTGGATAATAGTTTCGAGTGGCGTACATTAATCGCGATTTCGTACACGAATAATTTCTTCTATTTTTATCTCATCGCGTCGTTACTATTAAAAACAACCTGGATGGTTACATCATTCGTTTTACAAACGAGATTTGATCTATCACTCGTAAGATGGTTCGTAATGTTACGATCATGACGGTAAGGAAGGAATGTTGTCAATGACTGATGTAAGAAATAATTGAATACCAGTTTCATGTACCGTTTCGAGAAAATTGAAATAAGGAAAGTGTTTTTATAACGGTTTCTTAAGTTTCAAGTAATTTTGTGGTATTTCCAGACATCTTTAACGTCTTATGTGAATCCATTCGAGATGTGACGTTGTATCTGTATTTTACATTCACATATCGTGTTGCGTAGGATAATCGCTGCACAAGATACAAAACCATGATAGTTTCTTTATCTGGTGAAATCGGTCAGCGAGCCGTTACTTCGGAATTTTTTCTCGTTGGGTATTAGACATGCAAATATGCATGTAAGAACATTGTACAGTACAAACGAGACGCAATGCTACACTCAGATGTGTACTATATCTTTTTGAGCATGATTCCAAGTTTATCGAGATAGGTAAGAGATGATTCAAAATTATATTTACAAAAATATTTTACACATTTTAAGTTTATATTTACCGTTTAAAAAATTATTTAACATATTTAGACTATAGATTAAATTTTTTTCTGCAATTTTTAATATAAAGAAGCAGTTACCTAAACAGTATTACACGATTGGAATGTGAAAAGTGTATGGTACAAACAAACAAGCATGAAACAGGGAAGATGAGCCAAACCCATGCTGCTTTTATTTAAAAACAAGAATCAACTTTCCTGCATTCGCAACTGCGAGTACTTGGAAATGATTTACATAAAGTATCTAGCGTTAATTCATTTACATTTTTATTAAATGGAACCAATATAATTTCTACCGTTCCATTGTCGATTGAAACATTGATATGAGATTTAATTCAAAGTAAAATACAGTTTACAATATATATAATGTGCTATTTAGCTATTAAAACGGTGGTTATAAAAACAGAGCAAGTAACATTTTTTTATGCAATATTTTTTTTCTATAATTGGTATTTTTTTTAATTACGCTACTTTAAGTGCGTTTATATACTGCTGGTTTCTCATAATTAGTACGTTTTCTCTATTGTGCGGTTTCCAGTGCATTTATCTGCGATTTGTATCACGTACAAACTTCTACGGAAATCCCGCATATAATTCGAAAAAGATGGAAATTCCCTGGCACGTTGCTCGACATTTTCCTGTTACACTCATGGGACATACTCTTTGCTGACCTCACGTGCTTTACGGCTTCTTGGATTTCAGAAGTCATTGCCTAGTCATTGAATGAACAAGCCTAGTATGTAGTGAACGATCCTGCGTACTCTAGAGAAATATCTGATCGATATCGTGGTACGTTTGTGAATGAAGGAGCTTGGGAAGATATATAGCTAGCATAGGAAAGCTTGAATTTTTATCAAGATTTCGTTTCTTTCATTTGATATTTTTTTTACAATGTTTGATTAATACCATATTATTTTAGAATATTTGTAAAATTACTAAAGTTATTAACATTTTTTTTTACTGATATAAAAAAAAGAATATTATATTTTGATCTCTGCAGCTTATGTTTTTAAAAACTTTCGTGTTATTTTTTTACAGTTTCAATGTATAAAAAGAAATCACACGTGCACACTGACAATTCGTGAGATCTGATTACAGATTCTGGTATTTTTATTAAAAATCTCGTTGACATTGGATACGTACATATTGACGATAGCTAAAAATTTAATTAAATTCAAACTTTGGGAAAACAGTATGTCGTATGTATAATATATACCAAGTAATACTTTGGTTTTGGTTACACCATAGAGTCCTTCACACTTTACATTCACGATCGGATCAGCATGTATGTAAACGTTCCAAAGAATCGATCGTTCACAATTTCAACATCATACAGTTACGGAAATTTCTACATGCGTAAGAGCATGAATAGATATACGGAAAAGAATTCAAACTTCTTGGAACTATGGAAGGGTTTCGAAGGGATTGAAGAAAGCTAAAAGAATTTTTAAGGAAGTAATTTTTAAACTACATTTTTATTTCGTGCTTTACAGTTTTTCATGGAATCACAAAGATTTGAATAATTATCTTCCTTATCTCACTATGCTACTTAAAAGTTATCACGATACTCTTACCCAATTTAAGAATCGATAGCCTCAAAATCATAAAAATTCCAATAACTGCTATCTCGTAATTCTTTTATTCGATTAAAATATTTGAATGTTTAAAATCATAATAATTCTCGATCATTTTTCCTTCATGATTTTTTCCTATTGCGTTTAGATATCTGCATCATGTCTTTCCGAGAATTGTGAAAATGACAATAACCTTTTTCCTTGTCATTCCAGTAACGTAGAAGTTCTTTAAAAAATGCTGCAACCAAGCATGAATATTTATGCGAAAAAGGAAAGTGTTGATTACATCAACGCTGTTTGATGTAGACAAGAGGACGAGGTTGATAAAATTGACCTTGGTGTTCCTTTTCAATTTCAAGCAGATTATCAGTTGCGGAACGAGACATCAAAGTGACACTTCCGGCACAAAGAAGCGCACACGTAAAACCGTCGGGGCGAATGTTGCCGCGGATGTGATAAATTAAGATTGTAAAATAGGGTTATGCCCAGCATGGAGAGATCAACTATTGTTCTCGCCACTTGACCCAATCAGACGTTCAATCAAGGTTATATAACACGCAAAATACTCAACCGTCGATCATCGTCGCATAGATGAAAACAATAACGTTGATGAAGAAAGATTTACTATTTAAAGTAATAAAGAAATTTGGTTTTTCATTAGAATGATAACAATTTTCGATCAAAGAAATTCATTCGGAACGAAGAAATCATGTATGCAGCGTTCGAAGAATTTTTTTATTCTACAACTAACAACTTTTAAAGGACAAGAACATGGAATATGGAAATCGTAATTAAGTACAGGACATTTCAAAACAACTACACATGGCTTATTTTTATTCAGATCTATTAGAGATCTAATTAGAGATATCTGATTAAACTGTTAGTTGGTATAGCATAGGACTAAATGAATCTGTTTGCATGAAAAACGTTGTGATCTACTAAGCATTGTTTCAGATTATCTGATTTCGGCGCGCTGAATGATTGTATCATTACAGTAGGTTGATTGTTGCGGTACAATGTTTCTAGCGATTATTTTTTACAATTTTTACAATTTTTTACACAGTTCTATTGCGTGTAAGTGATTGATCGATTAGCATGATACCAATCACTAAGTTTCGAATGTATAGAATGTTAGCACCGTTGTAGAAAACGTAGATCACGTCGATAAACTTTATGAAGTTTATGAAGTTTATGAAGTTTATTACTGAATAATTATGATACACGCACAAATTTATTCGCTTACAATATTTCATTGTAAGCAACATTTGTATGCAAATCAAATATTTCAATAATACTTAACAGATTAAGGGGGAAAGTCATCAATCACTTGATATATCTCTTATCATTAATCTTGTCCTATGCAGTACATTTAATATTTTTGTTATGTTTTTCCTTTTTTTTTTTTAAATATATAAGTTCAAAGACGTCGATTCGACTTATCGACTTAAATTTATTTCTGTGTATAACATTTTAATTTCTCAACGATTTCTTTTCTTGCAACAAGAAGTTGAAAGGATAAATCATTCTCTGTGGAGAGAACCGTACGTCACAGAGGTAGATATACGGTGTACACTCAGAGAAAAGAGAGAGAGGGGGGGGGGGGGGGGGGGGGAGGGGGGAGAGGGAGAGAGAGAGAGAGAGAGATCTAATAAACAAACAGATGACTTATTGATATTTTGCTAATGTTTGAGATTCTTCCTTGATTCCATGGAGGTCCGCTATTGAAAATCTTCATGAAATATGTGACGCACGGAATTGAATCGAATGCAAAATAATCGATCACTTGATTAAATCGAATTAAATCGAATTTAAATTAGTAGAACTAAATTGAAAGTGACTAAATTCAACATCAAGATGATTTTAGTCGATTCACGTCGATTCGAGGTGAATTGGGAAAATTTGGATCAGTTTAAACCAACTTGAACCAAATTAAACAAAATCCAATCAATTTGTATCAATTAAAACCAAATCATATTCAAGTATATTCAAACAAACTTGAACAAAATCCGGATACATCGAAATCGACTAAAACTAACTAAAACCCAATTGAACAAGTACGAGTTGATGAAAAATAGTTACAATCAAAACCAAATAAACTCAAACTCATTCGAACCGATCCAAAAGAAGATCTAACGACATATATTAAATCAATCTAAATTACTTTTATAATTTAGATAATTTAAACCGATTCGAATCGACCGGAAACAACTCAAAATCGGTATGATTATATCAAATATCGTAGTCCTAGAGTATTCGGTTCGTTTAAGTGCATGACTTGTTTTAGTCGTTGATGTTGTTTGCAGCGAAAAATCTCAGACACTCTTCTCTGAAACAGTGCTTCTGTTGCTGTCCCTCCTCTGCATTGCACGGGCATGTCTTTGCGTGCGGACAGGTGGTTCCCTGTCACTGCCCACTCGTCTCAGACTGGTGTCCCTTTCGATGCGAGCGTTTTTAGGAGCCGATGGACCACGAATGTTCGTGTACACGACGTAAACAGCTAGGATTCCAATGACGAACATAGCCACACCGACCCCGCTAACCGTACCAACCTACAAATCATAACCAACGTTTCATAAGTGGTAAAGTTAAACTATTTTTTCCTTTTCATTACATACTAACTCAGTGTTACCTAAGATTTGATATCACAATACTGTTAGCTACAATGTTACAGAATATTAAAAAATATTTGCCAATGTTTCACTTGCAGTTAGAGTTCAAACAGAATTGTCAAATTCTGTCAAATGAATAACGAAGAAAGCGATGTTTGGCTTTATGCCATTACTTCACGAAAATATACATCATTTCCTTCTTTATTAAATCAAACAGTAATCGTATAATGGACTGACCATGGTCCACCACTCGGTATGGTCCACTTCAGAGACTAAAATCTGAGCAGCCTCGTCGTCGTCTTCGTGCAACAGCTTTATCTCTTTAGGAGTGGTAGCGCAACCGGTTCTCGTTCCTTTTTCTTTAGCGATCAATTTCTTGAATGCTTTTGGCATTTCCTCCTTATCATCATCGTCGTCGTTGTCATCCTTTCCGTTCTCACCGTGTTTTTCGTCATCATCGTCATCGCCGTCACCCCAATATAGTTTCACTTTAGTTTTTTGAACAACGATTGTGCCTATAGTTTGCAGCTCTCCCGTCTTCACCTTCATCGACAGCTCTAATGACGCAGCGGCTGTTTGCGATTCTCTAGCATGTTCTGCGACCACGTTCGCTAGAACGTTGTTCCAATCTACGGCGTTCACTACGGTCTTGCACTTCTTCTTTTTACTATAGAGAAATGAAACGATTAATTTAGTTCTGGTCTCAATGTAGCCTATACTATAGCGTTATTGTATTTTTGATATGATATAAAATTAATATAACGTGTTATTAGAGCTATATTGGCATTATTAATATCTTAGCATTATGCTAGATTTCTTCTTTTCCCCTTTTCCTCCTCAAACTATTTCAAGAATTTTACTTGTTAGCTATAATGGTAAATGAGGATTTTAAATAGTTTCTAAATATAATTTTATAAACTTCGAATGCATGATCATTTATAGGGAATAATGTAATTAATGTAGAGTATTTTAACATTTGTTTTGTTTTCCTCGTAAATATGGAATTGTTTAAATACCTATATTTTATAATCGGCATCATCTGCGTATCATGAATCTAGGTCATTCATCTCTATATGCCATTTAAAATGGTTAAATATAACTTATCTTACAATTTCTATTACTAGTTCCTTTAACCATTAAGATAAAATTATTAAAGAACTTTATACCGTATGTCTCAAAAAATGATAAATCTAAAGATTATACAATTTTGAAGTTGTCACTACTGTTACAATAGCGTTTCTGACACAAAATTCCCGTTCTCATGGAACTAACATTTCCTGACGAACTGTACGAATACAGTAATTTGTATTAATTAATGTGAAATTAAACGACGATAACTCTGCACGCAAAGAACAGAAAAATTTTGTTACCGTACTTGTTGGACTCAAACCCAATCACCATTAAGTTTTTTAAATAAATTTAATCATAGGTTATTCCATGTGAATAAATTCTCATTAAAGAGACGAGAATATTTAACAGGCTACTGGACGGTTGAAGCCATTTTAGGAATACTGAATACTTAATTTATAGCGATTTGCAGTTAGTTCTTGCCAACTTTTAGTTTATCACATTATCCATAAAATTGAGTACTTCACTCTGATCCTTCGACTTTGGTGACAAGTATAATTCAAGAAGCTAAATGTACAAATAAACTATATTTCCTAACAAAGAAAATAGTTTATTTTCTTTCTTACTACTAAACTCATAAGACCAAATGTAAAACATTATTATTGTTGTTTCTGTTGTTTTACAAGAACGTACTAACCTTTCAAACAAAATCCTCGAACCCGATTTATAATCCTATAGAGTAATCAATATTTGATATAATCAATATAGCTTATTCGTACACAAGTATTATTAAATATTTTAATTATAGCCGTCAGCTAGAAGTAATTGCAATTGATGAGTAACATATGACTTATTGAATCATGAAAACTGAGTTTCTGATTTCTCAATCACGTAAAAACATTTCCACTTCGAGAGGCGAAAAGGATTGCCTTGAATTGATTTATCTTCGTCGGTCTTTCACTGAAAAATTCTTGCATTGGTAATATTAATGAACATTTTCATGGGAACGAATGATTAATGGGTAATCAAATAGTTATGCTCACCATAGCGTATCTAACGCTTTCGCGTAAGCTTTTATCGCGTCCTCGAGCCACCTAATCTCCCTTAGTTCCTCAGTATCGTATTTGCCGACTTCATTGCTAGGCCACCATTTTGATTTCTCCACTCTTGCTTCTAACCCCGGGAACTCATTCCTGTTATAAATTGGTGGAAGTCTATTAACGCCGCCGATCGACCATTTATTACCTATTCTATAAATTGATTACGTTAAATTTTAATTTATCGTGTAAAATGTATACTTGGTTCGAATGATGTTGAGGATTCGTTAATTATTGCATTAAAGATCACGATTGATGCCAGAAAAGAACTAGCAGTCTATAAATGTAGGTATCGAACGTTATGCACAAAAATTTAGGGAACTTGTCTATTAGCTTCACTATTAAGGTCTCTGTAACGCTAATGATTTATGTGATGGCCTGACACTGAAGCATTTCTAACTAGTTTACTAACAGGTATAAGACAAAATGTGTCTTATTTTTATATTGTGTTTCTTTTTCATTCCTTTTGCTGATATATCACAGCGCCACAGATACATAGACATATTATAGATGCTGGCTTGTTAGATTTAAAAATGAAATTGATCTTATTATTGAACTGAACTTATGAAATGACTTGTTATTTCCATATTGTAAAAAAGAAAAAAATTGCATGGTAATTCGAAGAATTAACCTGCAAAAATACTGGAAGAATGTTTGAATAACAAAAATGAACGAATGATTATTAATGGCTACATTAAGAGTCCTTGGCTATCAGAAAAAATCCGATTTTATCCAGTAAGATCGTGTGTGGAATACGTTGTTTCATACGTCAGAATCATTTAGATCGAATCTAAGCAATTTTAATACAATATGTAATCGTTATAATTCCTCTGTAATTCCACCTATGTTTCACTTGACTTATTCGTTAGTTGCTTCAGTTGCTTCTTTCAAATTATTACCATACTATCAGGTAATATGAAAAATACAGAATCCTTGATGCATTTTATCCGTTTTTGCTTTTCGTTTTATTATTCTTTTGTTATTTCGTTGAAATATAATTAGTGTTATGTGTTAAGACTTGTTACTGCATTATAAGAACTGTATATCTGTAAATAAATAAATAAATAAATAACTAAAAATAATATATAGTACAAAGAATTCAATGTTGATTAATAAAATAACAGTTATTATTCACTAGTACACTAGATTAAAAAATGCATTAGAAAACCAAATGGAAACGGAAAGAATCTAAATTATAGATTATTAAATCTAAATTGAAGATTAATATCAGCAAAATTACCAAATCTGTTAAAATGATTGACTCAGACATTTTATTTTAATTACTGAAAATATGCAATTCTTACTATCAAAATTAATCTGCCCACTTTTAGCAGAGTAGAAATATAATTAAAAATACAACTATCTATTTCTGTTACAGCATTTGGAATATTAATATCTATTACAAGTAATTGTTGGTGTTAATAAGGTAATACGTCAGGTGTATGCTAATAAACTCAAGTGATCGCGTGCTAATTCTTGTGTACCTGAGGAACGGCATTTCTATTATCTAGCTCATATTATATGCAAATGCTAATCGCACGATTAAGCTGGTTTTCATGAATAACAATCACTGCGTTTAATGATTAGATTGAATTTAAACGCGTCTCTGTGACGCAATCGCGAAGGTAAGCGTTTCCTAGAGGTTACCTAGAGGCAACTTATGAAGTGGAAAGAGCAATTCAGATTTTTCATACTATCCTTGTTCATGGAAGTATGTTCCATTCGTAGTATACAATACTTGGCTATTCCAGGACACAAAATGAATGTTCTGCAAAGCAAAGGAACAATTAAAACGACTCGCGAGACGTTGCCTAGACAACTCACAGCATCCAAGTATTGTGCATCCGACATGAGGCAACGTCTGTTGTAAAAACACTAATCATCAGGAACGTAGTAATAGGTCTGTATATATAATCTTACGCATTAGCTGCGTCATCAAAAATTATTTTAACAGATAAATCTCGTTTTTCTAAGACAGTTTTTAGATAATGCTGTGATTAGGGATGTTTACAGTGAATCATGATACTAAGTTTTGCATAAACATGCGATAATTACCACGAAGGTAGTGGTATGTTTTCGAGCACGATTTTCCACATTAATCGTACCAAACGAGAATTATTGAGATAGATACATTTAATATGACTGATTTTATACTATCCATTTAAATATTAAGAAGTACTTAATAAAACGAATCTATATAGACAACAAAATTTTCTGTACCTTGGAGAATTTTTAATAGAATCTTCTATTCCTTCTGAAACGAGAACCACATAAAACCTATCTTCGTTACCCTAAGAATTTGTATCTCTCGGTTTGCAAATAATGTAGTATAACCTTCATATAATAATTCTAGAGCAGACATTCCTGGCACAAATCTGAAAACATTCATCTGAATGTAAAGATCGATATCATACAATATCAGACAGTATAAAGATTAATTGCAAACGTGACTTCGAGCGGTACCTTTCGTTTTGTGTCACAATGTGTATAAATACATGAAAACCAGCTTTTAATACTGGAATAGTATTACAAGTTTACCGCTGATCGATGGCTGTCCATAAAATACATCGTTGCGATCAGGACCATTCAAAATCCCACTCAAACGTGCTCCTATGTTGAGATACATGGGTAAATTATAGTTCTCATCACAGTGTGCCTATGTTGAATCTAATCTTGATAAGTCAACGATGCATGACAGAAAAAATTTGTATTTTTGCTGAACGGCCAGCTAAGCGCGCTGTTTCTGCACTTGCTCAGAACTGCATCGACTAATTACGAAATTTGCCATCATGATAGAGCGTACAAACGTTACGTATTCATATATGTAAGGATATCGCATTATAGCGATCTCCTTTGCCGTTGGAAGTGTTTCCACGAGAAGAAGTGAACCGTTTGTTCCTTGCACGTTAATTTACGAGGTGCCGTTAACTTTTATCGCTGAAACGTTTCGGTACGCTTTACCTGCCATATATTGTTAATCGTGATCTCGCGCTGACCGTGCAACAAGATGGCGAAGTCGATAGATGAACATGGGTCACAGCGTCACAAGATGATCTCTCGGGTCGTAGACACTAAAGTTTCGACACGAGGCTGAAACATTCGATGAATTTGTATTTTTATTTCGGTACCAGATAGTATCAGAAATACTGCAAATTTGCAATTACATGGTACAATTTGTCTACCTTGGACTTTATGTTTAGAATAACGGGATTCGTATACTTTACATAGTTGGGAATATAAATCTGTTAAAGTGAAAATTTTTAATCGATTTTTGTAAAGTAATAAAGAACCCTTAACCCTCTCACGAGTAACCATTTCGGCAGCCTTAAGACGATTTTCCACTTGACTCACTAGCGCCACCACGGCTCAGATCTGCAATAAATGTCTATCGTAAGTGTCGTATACGTCATTGAATTATTAATTTTACTGATATAATCTTGGAATGTTCTTACCACGTGTATTGTATCGGTTGTACAACATTGTTTTCAAAAATATACGACTGTATTCGTGAAAGGGTTAACGGGTTAAATATTAGGTAGATCAGAATCAAATCTCCTGTGAGATTCGTGATAATCTGCTTAGGTTTTCAACCTGAATCTCCGAAAAATAGAGGGAATCATCTTTATGAAAACACGAAAAATTTTCAAATTTTATTCCGTCATATTGTATCCATTATTAAAAATTCAAAAATTTTAATATTAAATTTGGAATTAGAGACCCTAAGAATGGGATATAACCATCGTTTATACAAATTCCTCATTCCCTGAATTGATTTTGGATTTTTAATCCGTCATATTGGATATGATAATTAAAATTTTTAAGGTTTGATCCTAGATTCGGAATCAGCGACATAGTCAACATTTACAAGAATTCCCGCACTTTTTGAATTTTGGCCAATTTTGGACCCCTGGCCCACTGGTGCTCTTGTGACATTCGTGCTAGACTTATGATCCGAAAAGGAAACGCAAGTGATTAGAGAGTGAAGTTAATAAGCACAAATGAAATCCATAAATCGAATAATCAGTTACTAAATCGACTTATCGATACTGATTATTATCATATATTGTAACAAATACTATCATAAATGAAATCGTAAACGGATTCACATCAGTTCACAAAAGCGTAACGGATTTAATATAGCAGGAACGCTTTACTGAGATTAGTCAATCTGATTTCTCATCGGTCATGGTTTTAGGCAATTTAATTAGTACTTCTGGTACTTTTCTGGTAGGGAACGCGACCGAGTACCCGACAAGAAATCGAAGCTCTTGCGAATGAAAGCGTAACAACGGAAAATTGCAATGCGGTCTCACGAAGCGAATAATTATGACGTGATAGAGAATGGAACGTTGTCTACTCGGTTTCTCGACGATCTAACGGAACTGTACGAAAACAATACCGACTTCTAGACCTGGTACAGACGATGCGTCGCGACGTCCTTTGTAATTTCACAATGGTGACGCTGCAAGACGTATTACATTCGTGTATTTAGCGACGTGGCACGCAAACTTGCCATTCCGCCACTAAAAATATTAAATTAGTCTATTAATACTCTTTGGATTAAACGTGAACCTTATCATTTTTCTTTAAGCTTTCTAGATAAATTTCTTCACAAATTCTGAATGAGTATATATAATCTTTCCCCAGCTGTATTATACGCGTCATTAGGATGAACTCAGTATGCACAAAATATGATAATCACGCTGTTGGAAGTAATGTCTATCTGACTCCACTTTTGACGTTGCCAAAAGTCCTAGTTTCCAATTTTTGGCTATATATGTTAGCATAGCAAGTGCTTAAAAATATAAATTACGTTGCTTCTTTTATTTTCTGATAAATAGCTGAGAATCCTATGTTTAGACCAATGATTCATCCCATTCCTGCCTGGATAAAAGGCTACTGGAGTCACGATTAATTTTGCCCAAAACAGCTACGTGCTCGAAACTCTGCACTAACTGCAACAATAAAAAATCTGAAGTCAGTCATTTTAATTGGTTTGATAATTCTAGTGTTCTTCTTTTCGAATCTACAAACTCTTTTAATCAGTAACCCAGGGGTCTCGTTTACAGGATCAGTAAGAGGGTTGAAACGCGTGCAAAGCGAGGAAAAGCGCGTGCAATAGTCGAAGGGATCTCTGGTATGATACTAAGGTAGAACAAAGTTCCCTTCCACTATTCTATTGTTCGCTAGGTTGTTAAGATACGCTTTCGATTTTCGCGATGGAGGGAAAAACGTGCAGTTGCGGCAACAGGAAATCACTGACTCACACGACGATTCGATCCGCTCAGTAATTCATTTTTTACACCGCTTTTTTCTTCCTGAGTCTAAGGCTGGTTACGTGCGCGATATTTATGGTTAGGATAATTATGTTTAACAGTAAACGCGTACGAAGTTTGCACAATTGGCACACATTGCCAGCCTTTTGTTACCCGCGTTCGCGTGAGTTATACGCAGGACATCCATTGTCAGAATGACACCGTGGCGAGAGATGAAAGAAGGAAAAAAAAAAGAGGAGTTACTGTGTTAATGAATGTATGTTATGCAACACAGATTACCGTTTACTCACGAACGATTGCGGTTGCGAGATAAAATATGTTAGTTTAGTATAATAGATGATTCTTCATTTCTGGGTGTACTAATTGGAAAACCTGTCGAACTTGCACAAGTTGTAGGAGGATCGGAAAAGCCGATAGTTATGGAGTTAATGACTTTTTAATGACAGTCAGTTAAGAAATGATCGTAATGACGTAATTCGAGTTGAGTAGGATCGTTGAAACCATAGTTTCTTGGATTTAGAGGTATACGACCCTATATGGTCCCTCAGATATTTATGTTTGGAAGAATAATACTAATCGGTAATTGTTAAATAGTATTAAATATTGTTGTAACTATATAGTGAAGGAACAGATTGAATGTGTATTTTACATATGCATCCAATACCAATAAGATATTTGAAGTCGCCAGATTATTGTTGTAAATAATTGGAATATTCTTATGGTTCTTTTATACCAACTTAAATTGGGAATAAATGACCTAAAAATTACTGACATGACTTGTACAATTGTCACAATTACGTTGATCTATTATCGAGTAATAGATGAAGGGAAAGGCCAGAAACTTCAACGCGTAATCCTTTAAGAGAGATTATTCAAAATAATCCATGATTCATGGTAAGGGAGATAATATTTCAAATGGAACTAAGCCTCTCTCCAATTGTTCCTCGTTTGACGTAAATACAAAACATAAAGGAAATGGAGAAATGTGTTTCGTATACACCTACTAGAAACTTGGTTGAATATTGTTACGAGATTTTCATATCTACCCGGTATTCGGGTAAGTAAACAGAGCGGATCGTAACTTCAGGGAAGAGCAATCCAACACCTTCCAGAATGTTCGGACAAAATAACAATCGGCTGTTTACTATAAAAAGGGATGTCTTCCACCGAAGTTCAGAGTAGAGTTGTCAACCTTTCAATAGGGTTAAATCTTTTTAACGACGTATTCATTGGAAATCTTCGGCAATCTAGCGCTCGAACTTGTAGAACAAGAATTGCAAACGCGATTCATATCAATATTATTTCGTCAGAATAAATAAAAATTACGGAATAAACAAATTTATCTTTTGAAAATATTTTGTCACTTTTGAAATTTGTGACATGATAATAAAAAACGTTTGAAACAACTGTAATCACGAAGATGATGACGATAATGCTAACCATCTGATGTAGAACTTATTTCATGTAGGATATATTCCATTTACAGAATTTATTCCCTACCATTTCCTACAGTCTGGATCTGCAGTTGCAGCAGAAAGATATGACGAAAATGTGAAGGAAATGTAAGTGGAATTAGTAGAGGAAGTAAGTATGTTAGTAACCAAATAGAAATAATTCTTTTTGGAAGGTAATGCAAGACCTCGTGCATCGAAAAGAATGATACAAGAATTTTTGCCACGTCTTAATGGATTATCTACTCATAAGTTTTTATGCTGGTACCTAAGCAGGTTTTTAATGAATAAATTATGTCCTACATGGATAAAATATGCCATAACATTTTTCACTAGAATAAATCATTCCTGTAATATATGAAATCTATTATGTAGGAAAAACATCACGTGCTCCAACTTTTATGTTAGGAAATAAAATTTCTAGTGCAACTGTGAGATTTTCTAATTCTATGTTATTATACCTAGAATAATGAACCGTGTAAACTAATTTTTATCCTCTTTTTCCCCCCACTCTATTTGTTTATTTAAAACGTTCCTAAAATTTTATTTCCAAATTTCTCCATCTTCGAATCTCATAAGATTTTTATCTCTAATACCTCTACTAACTCTTGACCATCCTTGTTTCACATAATTGTGATCACAATTGATCTAAATCCAAAGGTTACCATCAGCAATTCCAAGTATTCTGAGAATAATCCTCAGGAATACGAATACCAAGGCTCGACGAAACAATGGGGCATCAGGATTCTGTCAGAATTGTTAGCCTGGGTTAACTGAACGATGACGAGGGTCCAAGAGAATGTTAAGGATCAAAATGAAGATCATCGATATAGCGACGTTCCACGTAGAGGATAAACGATTGAGTTCTCCTTTGAATGCTCGGACCTTGGACGTTATCGTTGTCGTAGGTGTAAAATGTGGAGCAACGTAAACGAGAATATGATGTATATGAAACAGTAATAATGTCACGGTTTGCAGCTTATCGAACGGATTATCGTTTTGCACACGAGGACAAATTCCAAGCTGTAGTTTGAATAGCGATTCAAGTTGTCAGTGTGAATCGCTAATTGACAACCGAGGTCTATAAATAGGCGTAATCGTCTTCATTAGTTGTGTACTGACGAATTGGTATTATTGGTTTCGAGTCCAATTGTTGAATTAATTGCTGTATGAGAGGATGAAGAATTCTTTTTCTTTTTTTCGTAATTCAATTAATGCAGTCTAAAGTAACAAGTGATTGTAGAGTGCCTGAAGAAACGATTAATTTTTAGTTCCCTTATTGGAGTTTTCAAATAACGAAGCAGTAAATAATGATTCTGGTTCTAATAGAATCGAGATTAGAGTTTAAGATGAAATATAGAAGAAAATAGAGGCGTGTGCTTTTACCTGGAGTCTTCTAGGAGCAGTATAGTATTTGTTGAGTTGATGGGTTTCAGGTGTTCCTCAAGGCGCCCTTCGCTGATGACCAGAACAGTAGCGTTTGTCGATTTAGCAAAGAATCCTTCTTCTGGTAATCCAATATGCACGATATGCGTGGTTAAGTCTGAAATTTATTAAATATTTAAACGAACTTAATTTCTTTTCTAAGTTTTAATTTCAAACTCAGCATCAAACATTTTGATATTCAAATAAATATCAGAAGACAATAATTCTCTTCCAATAATTAGTTCATTATTATAAGAGTAACTGAGTGCTCACCGTCTGGATCACCGTCATAGATCAAAACGCAGAGGCCCCTTTGAATAGCCCCCATTGTCAGTCTTTTGGCAATGTTCTGAGAGTCGTCTTCGCCATCTTCGTCAGCGTTCACCACCAATGTGAATGACTTCCACTTCAGTTCCTCTACGACCTTCAATGTTCCCTGTGATAGAAAATTACAATTATGATTCTGAATTATTTCTTGAGCTTCACTGTGCAGTGAAAACTTTAATGAAATTTATCATAGAGGAAGAAGGTTAGGCACAAAAACACTCATACAGAGTGGCTAATTAGTAAATAATGACGGTATATTTGCAAGTCCAAAGATGAGCTGTCACTGAATACAAGGTTAAATCTAAATCTATCTCAAATGTTTCTTTCAACTCTCTACTAAACGCTGTCTCTCACTCTCTTGACACTGTCTAATTCCGACACACT